GGCGGCCGGGCTGAGGGACTGAGGGGGCGGCCGGGCTGAGGGGGCGGCCGGGCTGAGGGGCACTGGGCAGAGTGGAGAGGACGCCAGGCCGCGGGTGGGGCGGGCAGAAAGGGGCTGAGCTGGGTCTGACCGGGACGCTCATGGTCATCCTGTCAACCACGTTTTCACTTTGGGGCTGAAATGCAAAAGCTGGGTTTGCCCACATTTAGCCAGACTCTGGCAGAGGCCGGACTAAAATCCTGACTCCCACCCTTCCCGTGTGAACTCTCCATAGCAGCACCCTGGGAGCAGGGTTGATGCTCTCAATTTTTGTTTGTTTGTTTGTTTGTTAATTCTCATTAGAGGATATTTTTCCATTGATTTATATTTTTATTTATTTATTTATTTTTTTAGAGAGTGGAAGGAAGAGGGAGAGACAGAGAAACATGGATGTGAGAGGGACACATGGATTGGTTGCCTCCTCTGGGGCAGAGATCAGTTACTCTAATTGTTAACTTTCGGTCCATCAAAATAAAGGAGGAGACTCTTAAATGTTACACAACTAAGATAATCTTTATTTGATATTTCTAAGTTTGAAATTTACCAGTTTATTTAAATGTTATCTTTGGATTCAGAAGGTTTGAGATGTTTATTTTTTAAAAGTAAAAAAGCATCTAAATATGGTGCCCCCTGGAAGCAAACAAACCAAGAAATCAGGGAAGACATCAGTGAAGGATAGGAAGACATCCATGGAGGATCGGGCTGTAATTGCCTATGACTTTGAGAAAGAAGATAAACGAGATCTGAGTGGTTCAGAGGAGGATGCTACTGACGGTACAGTATATCATATTGTGCAGTCACCATGTCCTACAGCTCATTTATTTTGAACCTACTGAATTTAATTAAGACTTCCTCAAGCACTTAATGTACTTCATGTTTCTCATTTGGAGTTAGAGTAGCTTATATAGCAGATCTTGCCTTTGCAGTTGTTATTCCCAAAATGTGGAATAAATAGTGCATGGCTTTGCTATGACATTAACACAGGAAAACTTGCAAAATTGTTCCTTTAAAATGGTCCTGGAGCCCTGGCCAGTGTGGCTCAGTTGGTCGGAGCGTCCTCCCATACCTTGAAGGTGGCAGGCTTCATTCCTGGTCACGGCACATACCCAGGTTATGGGTTCGATTCCCAGTCCAAGTGGGTACGGGAGGCAGTAGATCTATGTTTCTTTCTCACATTGATGTTTCTCTCCCCCCTCGCTCTTTCTCTCCTTCTTTCTCCCTTCCTCTCTCTCAAATAAATGATCATATCCTCAGGTAAGAATGAAAAAAAAATGTCCTGGATCTTGATTTAATTCCACCTGACCTGCAGAGAAAGTATTGCATTTATATATCGACTTTAAAAACTCATGTTGGCAAAAAGCCTAAAAGATCTCAAAATTAAGATATTACTTCATTAAAAATTATCCAAACCATTCTTAATTTCAAAAATATTTTGATTTTTTTATTGTCAATGCAGCAAAGACTCCAGCAATTGATAAGCTTGGGAAGAAAAGGACTTCTGCAGTAACAGTTGAAGATATGGGGTAAAGTGCTCAACATAAGTTTTGCCTGTTAGATAGTACTTTAAGAAAAGTAGATTTTGATTGTCAAATGAGTATTATATGTAAAATACTGAGGGTGTGATATTGCTTCCAAAACAAGCATGATATTTTATGGATCCTTAATTAAAAATATTTAAATGCAATTTCTTTACAGAGTGAAGTACAGAATATGCTGGAAAG